ATAATCGAAGCAATTCCCATCACTGCACTAAAAAATATGGCACATGTAGTCGCCAATTTTACACAAAATTTTTAATAGGTTAAAAAACACATTTGGTTCTTAAGTTTTCATTAAAGTTAGTCCCTACCTTTAAAAATTAGGTTAGATTTAACAAATGCATAACGTGTCCTTCACACATAGTCAATTGTACAAGTTGGTTCACTTTTTGGTCGGGTTAAACTTGGACCGGTTCGATTTGGCCCGCAAACTGATTCACGAGTACGCAAACCGTTTCACCCTTCGCCAGCGTCCTCCTGTTCCGCCACTGCCACCGCCCACTCCACCAGTTCCCTTGCATACACCCCAGCGGAAAACAACATCTTCGTCACTAGATCTGAACGCCAATATAAATGGAAACTTAGAATTTCAATAGGATTATTCATGATCTTTTTCGATTTTAGACCCTATTGAAGTGTTGAACCTGTTTTAAAAAGTATCTCTAATAATTTCACCGCTTCAGTATCAAAAGATTAAAGAAAAAAATTTATGACAAACGATTTATAATCCCAGAGATCAAAGCGTAAGCATGGGGACTGTATTGTTTCGCCCAAGTCAATTTTTACAAAAACGACGATGGAGTAAACGAAATAACCCAATTGAAAATGGTGGTCTTTGTAAACTCCAAATTCGAAATCCATCTCCTCTTGTAAAGAAATATGTGATTGCCCGGAGTCATACTTCCAAATGAACTCCATTTCGTCTTGCAAAATATACTTCGAATGAAGTGAATAATTTATAAATCAGATAGTTCAATGGTCGTTTTGATAGCTAATATTAAATTTTATATATATATATATATATATATATATTTATTTATTGAGATCGTATCTTTTTTCTTTTTTACAAGAAGTTTTTTCATTTGTACTAAACAAATTAATATCATGCACATACATTTTATAATAAATGCATCTAAAATTATTATATTTAAAAAATTATTTTTCACCCTTAACCTTGATAAGTTTTATCTATCTTTAATCTAAACTTTCAATTTTATCGAATTAAACCATAAACTTAGATGAGTGTTATAATGTTTATTATCTATTTAATTTTCAACAATTCACCTATTATTTTTAAACAAAAGCTAAGGTAAAAAAAAACTCTTAAAAGATTAATGAAAATCGAGTTTTGCACCAATTAAATTTTGTAAACTAGACAATAAAATAATTCTACCAAAACTTATAATTAAAAAAAGAAAAACAACTCTAGTGTCGTTTTTTATGAGTCCTATCAATTTCGTGTCAAAGGTATGTTATATAATTCGTTTGATACATATTATGATAATTTTTTAACAAAATTTCAAACGTGTTACCTGTAACACTTATCTCAATTTTATGGTGTAAGTTAATGAAATTAAAAGTTTATGGTAAAAATTGATAAAGTTTGATAAGTTAAGGGTTAAATTTGATTTATTACCATTGTACTCAGATTTAGATGTATTTGTGCCTGACATAAGTTTCTAGATCTGCCACTTGTGAATGTAATCTTTTAACCTGCTGTAAATTGATAACATTCATTTATGTTTCTGAACACTTTCATTACAGTTCCAGAAGAAATTGATTCAAATGACCTCCAAAAATTCGTGGAATGCTCAACTGACTCATCCTTTCAAAATGTGCCTAACCCACTAAAATATTTAATTAGTTTTAAAAGGTAGCGAGATTACAGTACTACCCTTTATTCGGTTTTTCTTCGCAGTCACTTCGAATTTCTTCTTAATTTTTATCTCTTGGCGATTGGCTTCGATTTTATGTGTGTTGAGGAGTTAAATGGTTGTTCATTTCCGTCGATTCAGTTTTTCGATGTTTAGATGAACGAATACATGTATAATATTGCATCGATTTAGGTTTTTTTCTGTTGATTTTGTTTTCTGGTATTCTTCTTTGTTTCGTTTCTGTTTTTTCTTTGATTTTTCGTTTATGTTGGAATTGAGGTTTGTGGCTGCGGGAGTTTGATTTGAAATATTTGAAGGGTGGAAGGAAGAGGAAGGAAAAAAAATACCAAAGAGAGAGGATGTCAACCAATAATATAATCACCAAAAAAATAATATTATATTAATGTAATTTGTCACATTAACAAGCCTAATAAGTAATGAGTTGTCATGTCATTTTTATGTTAAATTTTAAAAGATCACAGCGTTGAAACTTCGTAAATACAARTGTATTTTATTCTATATTTTTCTACACAATTATCCTAAAATTATCATGGGTGTTTTATCTACGATAAATGAATAGATTCTAGTTCAAACATAACTAAGACAATAGTTTGTTTATATATATATTAGAATAAATAGATTAGAGACGATAAAAAAAATCGTAAGGCACAAGGTCAAATCGACAATTTTATTCAAGTCATTGAGATGGGATAAGGCGTCCCATAATATTTTTTACAATATTATTTAAAAGTTAATTATATATAATATTAAAGTACAGACAAAAAAAGGTTAGGTCTTAAAGAAAATTGATACATGTACTATACGCCTATACACTTACAATACATTATCACTTATAAGTTCTAAATAGATTAATTTTTATAGGATTGTAGTTACACTTACAACAAGGCAATGCTAATGAAAGATATATAGCTAATTCAAACAATGCATTATGCATAATCAATATCTAACAATATATTCACGTGAATAACAATTCTTAGCTACATAAAATAGTTACAACTTCTCCACAATTTTGCATCTCCTAGAAACAAACGAGATGATGGGAAGAAAACAAGTACTAAGTTTCAAATCATTAAATAAATCGAAACGAAAGAAGAGGAGATGTTTAGAAAAACCATTCTACTTTGGTTCCACTTTTGTGGAAAGAGTGTATCCACCGCTGTAGTCAAAAGCATTATTGTCATTATAGGGATGTCTGGGAGCATTTTTGGATGTCCCAAAGTCGGTAGCAGATGAGGATGCAGATGTGGTGTTAGTATTTATTCCATCATTTTGCAAAATACTCTCAATTGCCTTAACCACTTCACTCATTGTGGGACGTTCTGCAGCTGATTCTTCAACGCATTGCATCGCCAACTCCAAGAACCTTCCAAACCCACTAATATTTGTCGTATTATTTATTAAGGTTGCATCCATTATATGCTTCAACCCATAATATTCTTCCTCATTCTTATTCATCAACATACGCACCTCACGAACTATATACTTTCCTTTCTCAATTGGCAGCTTGGCAGATACCAATTCCAACATAACCACTCCAAAACTGTACACATCACTTTTCTCTGTCAACTGTTGAGTCATGTAATATTCTGGATCCAAATAACCCTACAGATCAAATGTCATTACAAAACATCAAATATTATTTACTGTGACTGAAATGTTGATATAACAAAAAGAAACTACTTACCAATGTGCCTTTAACTTGCGTAGAAACGTGTCCCTTTTCACTGTCTGAAACAAGCTTGGACAAGCCAAAATCTGCAACTTTTGCATTTAAATGTTCATCCAATAGAATGTTCGTGGACTTAATATCTCTATGGATTATGGGAGGGTTAGCAAGCTCGTGTAAGTAAGTCAATCCTCTGGCAGACCCAAGTGCAATACGAACTCTTCTCTTCCAATCAAGAGTAATACCAGATTTTCCTAAATTCATTGTTGTACATGTTATTAGTGATTAAATGTTCAATGAGGCAATTAACTACTGTTTGAACTGTGACCAAAAGATCTGAGGGAACTAATTACCAGATAGGCTCTCTCTCAGTGATCCATTAGGCATAAATTCATAAACAAGCATCTGTTCTCCTTGCTCAAAACAAAATCCCACGAGGCCAAGAAGATTCTTGTGATGAACTCGTGAAAGCAGTTCAATTTCCGTCTTGAACTCGCTGCCACCCTGCATTGATCCTTGTTGGGCTCTTTTGATTGCAACTACTTGTCCATCCACAAGCATTCCTCTGTATACCTACCGAGGATGATGACAGTGCTAATACAACTATGAAGCAAATCGCAGAAGAAAGGGCAGTCAGAAAAGAAATAAAAATGGTTTGTACATTTACCTTGCCATACCCTCCAGATCCTATCTCATTGCTAATGGAGAAATTATTTGTGCATTTTTTAAGCTCATCATAAGAAAACCATCTGGCTCCCTTTAATTGTGGTGCACCTCCACTATCGTTTCCACTTGGTGCCCAAGAAGCTGCAGTAGATAGAAGATTGGTGTTATTTGGTCAAAATATTTAATATATCTGATTCTGATCGACCAACAACCACATAAACTACAAAGCATGGTGATAAACATCGCTTACCAAATGGTCTACTCAATCCGATGGCCTTTTCTGCACGTTTCTTTTGCCGAATTGCATATACTCCAACTCCAATGAGGCCTAGAACGAGAAAGGTACAGCCAATAGCTACACCAATTATCACTGCCGTGTTGATTGAAGTTCCCCTATCCGTGGCTTGAGGCATTTATGCCATTAGTTTAGGATCAATTCATAATCGCTAATGCAAAATCGTAACAGTTGAGTGAAATTTTTAAGTAAAATGATTATTATCAAGATTACCTGAAAAAGCATAGGGAGATGCAATGAAATAATATGGCCCAAATGGTGGGGGAGGTTTGAAAGTTTGATTACTCAGATCAAACCCAATCCTCTGAATATCTGACCTATTAAAATACTTTCCATTGGGTGGAAAAAGTGCAAGCTGCATCTGAAGATAATCGTCGACATTAAAGAAAGGGTTCTGAATAGAAACTGAACCAGGCGTAAGGTCAAGTTTGACCCAAAGTTTCATTTCCAGTGAATGAAACAAAGTCGCATTGGATAATTCCCTGAACGAGGGTCCTCTAAAGTATAAAGTTCCTTCATATGGATAGGCACATTCACAACTTTGAGGGCTCAACTTCTCATCAGGAGGACATGACTTACTTCCACAATTGGCAAGGCTGGTAGAATAGGGTTTCACTGGCGGCTTTTGAAGCTGGCAATAGTTCGTATTTGAGAGGGCATCAGTGTTACACACAGGATTGCCGATCAGCCTAAAACACATATGAATGTATACAAGTAAGTACAAAGTACAACATGAAATCTAACATAGAGAGGAAAAAAAAAGAGAGAGAGAGCAAGGATTTCTATCACATCAAAGTTCTGGTATATCCTGAACCAAGGGTAAATGAGGAAATATTGTTATTTTGCAAATCAACGAGCTGCAGCTGTTGGCCGATGCTATCACCCATGTTTAGTGTCTCACTGAATTCATTGTTCTTCAGTTTTCTGAAACGATTTTAATAAATTTTAAATTGACATTTTTGCTGCAATTCAGAATTCAACCTTTTATATTTAAATCAAAGCTTACACTTGTTGTATTTGTGGTAAGCTAAATACTCCTTGTGGCACAGATCCTCTAATTGACCCATATTCAACAATCCTGGAACCATTTTGGCACAAGCATTTACCATTAGATGTCAAACATTTCAAATACTTTTCAAAATTCCTCACTTATCAGAATACTTAGAAAACATACTGATACAATCGATAAGCTTTATAGGTGACGTAAGAACTTACAAAGTGGTGAGAGATTGCAGATTTGAGAACCATTCCGGAGCTGCTGATGAATCAAATGAGTTGTTACTAAGGTCCCTGTGAAAACAATGTATTGACAAAAAAAAAATCACCAATTAAATGAACTAGTATAAGAAGATCATAATGGAAATGCTAGCCCTCGCTATCTGCTTACACATAATTTAGTGAACTCATTTGAGTTAAGTTTGGCAGTGGACCTGTCAACTTATTGTAAGCTAGATTCCTGAAAGGAGCACATAATAATGGAGATGCAAATGGAAGTTGATTAACTATCCGTAAAAGAACACAAATAAAAAATTGTCGTAATTTTTAGAAGATGAATACCCACAATTCATTGATATTTATTAGGTTGCTCAGATTTGATGGAACATTTCCTGTTAGAGAATTTCGATCAAGTCGACTGTTACAAATTTGAACAACTTCAGTAAGTTGTAGAGAGAAAATTGTGAGAACAAATTTAGTACACCAAATGCAAAGTTACTAGTACTTACAGAACCTCAAGGTTCTTAACAAGTCCCAATGTTGGTGGGATACTCCCAGAAAGTTTATTTCCATCAAATAATCTGATGAAAGTAATTTCGTAAGATTTGGGACAAAAGAATGATGGGACAGAGTCTAGGGTTCATATCCACTTACATGTGTATTAATACCATCTCAGAGCTAAAAAGTTTAGGTGAAATGGTACCTGATAGCTGGTTTTTGTTGAAATGACTGCAATTCAAAGAGAAACTTCAACTTTTGAATTACTCGGGGTGTGAAAACATCAAATTTTGTAGAAATATTTGCTTTTTCTTTCACATTAGATTGGGTTTCTCGGAAAAAAAATAATACTCACAAATGTTTAGCTTTAAGAAGGAGGTCCAAACCCGGAGATTCAGAAGTCGAGACTGGGATAGCACCTGTCAATTGGTTATCTGCCAGGTCTAGCCAATAGAGATTGGAGAGTTTTCCCAGAGTTGGGGGTATGGTACCAGTGAAATTGTTAGAATTTAAAGCCCTGAGATAAACGAGAATTTACTTAAAGAAAAACAAACACAATCCCTATTTGGTTATCAATAAATTTTATCTATGAAATCTCACAAGAAGGATAGCTCAGGAAGATTGCCCAATTCTTCAGGAATATTGCCACTAAATCCACACCCAGCTAGGATCCTAAAAGTTGAAAATTGAAAATGCAAAAAATATTTGAGCTCTAGAAAAACAAGAACATAAAATTTTAATAGGATCAAATGAGTTTGCTTATTAGCTCTTTACAAGATATTCAACTTCTGTAGATCCCCTAATGCCGGGGAGATTGGACCAGTGAGATCTTTATTGAATGAAAGGTCCCTGCAATTGAAACATAAGAAACTCAGGAACTCGATGAACAAATATGAGACTGCTACCTAAGCATCAAGATTCCAATGAACCGAGAGATTGAAACCTTTGTCTTAAATTATGGTTAGAATTCATATTAATACAGCTCCCGTTAATTCAACCTATCAGAGATTGAAACTCACAATGATCTCAGTTCAGTAAGGCCTCCGATGTCGCCACCAAGTTTACCCTTTAGGCCCATGGTTGATAATCTCCTAAAGAATTTGACACACATGGTGAGTGGTCTTAACCAAAAGATAAAATCGTGAGATGAAAACGCCAAAAAGAAAAAGGAAAAGGAGTAAAACTTGCAGAATTATTGATAAGAAGTGAGTAAAACTGAAAGGAAGAGATGCTGGAAAAAATTGATGGTAAATAATAGATATTTACAATGCAGTTACTCTTGAATTGTTGCAAGTCACTCCTTCCCAGGGAGCTCCACACGGATCATTTGATGTTCCCCAGCTTGGTGGTGTATTTTGCCATTCGTTTTTTAGAGACTCGAGCGCCACAGCTACACCAACAACATGCCAAAGCTCATCAATTTGGAAAGGATCGGAAAGATGGTTTTATAAGGAGCTAATTGCTCAATATCTTCCCCTCCCATTTTATATTTCATGACATTCTGCTTCTTACGAAAAAATATATAAATATATTGTTACTAGACTGAAAAATCAATTCTCCTAATCCTTTCCTGTATTCTTTACCCCATTTGGCAGATGTACATTTTGTGCCACAGAGAGAAAAATGCCTTTGCTTATAAAAGTATTCTTGCAAATGTGACATTAGACATGCGAAATCTAGATTATAGAACTCGATCGCCACTTACAGAAATAACAAAGCTTGATCCCTATGCCACAGTCCTACATAACTACGCTCAATTTCAGCACTAATGCTACTGCTCGATAAGCTTTTGCGCTCAGGATGATGACTCGGGAACAAAAACTTCTGTTAGAGTTGTGAAACTTCAGATGTAAAATTTGAATGGCAAGTGCATGATGGAGCTTCCAAGGGACGCAATTGGTTGACATTGCCAAGGTTAGATTGTAGTCAACTCTGCTTCTAATTGGTGGTGAAGTTCCCATTTCCATCTCTCGATCAGATTTTTTCATCTTCCTTACAATTTATCTTTCAATTGAATATTCTATTTCTTGTCTAAATTTCAAAAATTGTTCCTCAACTTTCACATTTGTTTAGTTTTCGCCTTGACATTTTTTTTTAAAATAAGAAACCATCTATTTAAAAGAAATCAATATAGAGGCCGGGTCTGGACATTAGTTATCATCTTGATATTAACATCATTTTAAATTTAACATAAATTTTAGATTATTCAGTATTCACTTCTAAATTTAATATCGTCATCTACAGATCACTTAAAACACAAGCCCCTATTTTATGGTAAATATGAAAAGGAAATATTTAAAAGAATAGAGATGAGGATACAGAAGTTGGCAGATTAAAACAATGTTCAAACCAAAAATCAATTAATAATTTCTAAAACATAAAAAATGATCAGCATCCATTCTAATTTAGACTCTGATTTTAATTCCTGTCCTATACAAAATCTAAAACCACCATAAAGAAAATATAATTCGAAGAGTGAAAGTAGATGAAATATTGTGTTTTCCCTCTGTTTTGGTGTTCATGTATGTACATCATTGATCATACGCGAACAAAAGGAACAGCGCATGATAAGGAGAATGCAAGTAGAAGCTTACAATCGTGGGGATCAGTAAAGGAGCGGGTGGTGTGGATTCCAGCGTAGAAGAAAGCCAAAAGTAGTAGCGTTTTCACTGCTGACATGACTAAGCAGGAGAGGAAACTCGAGAAACTTGTTGCGCAGCTGTTTAGGCGTTGGATTTGTTATCTAGAAAGATGTGAACCTCCATTCGTTGTTCATGGCTAGCCGTAGTAGCAGCAGCAGCATGAATATGAGATATGTGTGGCCCAAAAATAGAGTCGGCCTCGGCCTCGGCCTGATATTGGGTTTCTTTTTGGTTCTTGTTAATGATTTGGCTTGTCTTAAAAGCCAATCCAACCATCCGACACCAACTAAAGAGGTAATGCTCATCATAGCTGGCCGTGGTTTCTTCATCTCTCCTCCAAATCATGAAGTCCCCATCAGTGATTGACAAAAAATAAAAAAGCAATTGACCCCTTCCCTTCCCTTCCCTTCCCTTGGTCATCAACATTAACAAGTAAGGGGACATGAGGGAGGAGGTCGCATCTCTTGAATGCAATTGCAAATTGCAATTGCAGGCTGGTCGATGTAATTATCACTCCTATTTTAATCAACAGCTGGATGTTAGGTAGAAGCTGCCCCACCAAAGCATTAAAAGTCAAATCTTCAATTTTGGTTTACAATTCACACCATTTTCCTTATAAACAAAAAAACAACCGATGCACCGGCTGTTCAAAAGTTCCTTCTTGGACGGAAACGATTGTATCATAAATTTGATTAAGATATGGAATAAATGCTTCTCTCCTCTCTCTATTCCTTTTCACACCCATCGCCATCAATCATCCATCGTCCTTCCTCCTCTTGCCATATTATACATTTTTTCTCCCCCACGAAAGACTTCGTCAAAGTGCCGTGTGACAGACGAAACCCGATCCTTTTCATTTCATGGAGTAGTGGATGATTTTGTCTCAGTCTAACCAAGATATTTTTAAAAACCTTGATAAATGCAGTACTTGAAAGTTGAAACCCTCAATGCTACCTATTAATTTTTGCAATTTTCATAAGTTCCCCTTTTACGATTCAACAAAATTCAACGCAATCAAAATCCAACTAATGTAGAGTGCAATAATAAAAGTCAAATTGATGCTATGTTTTTTTAAATAAAAAAGTTATAACATTTTTTAAAATATATATTAAATTCATGTTATCTATTTTTTAGTATAATTAATGTGGGATATAAATCCATGTTATTATTAAAACTTCAAACTAAATGAATAAAATAGACTTTATTCGTGTGGTGATTGATATATATCTCAAACCAAAAAGTTGCGTATTTGATCCACACCCTAAACAAAGAAATAGACTTTAAATAATCACTCGATATAACTAGATATTATTACTGCAAACTTTAAGACATCTTACTCATTTTTTAGAAACTAGAGGTTTAATTTCAATCACCACGTTGTACTCAAAAAGAAAAAAACAAAAACAAAAACTAGATATTATTGTTGAATACTTTAAATTATATATATTCAAATAATGATTTATCTTTGTCAAAAAATCAAAATTCATTATTAGAAAAAAAAAGGGAAACAAGTTATTTTATTTTATTTTGAGAAAGTAATTTTATTTTATTTTTACATGTGGTGCAATCTTTTGAAATTAAAAGTTTACGGTAAAAATTGACAAATGATAAGTTTAGAGTAAAATCGATTTTTTTCTCATGAAATTATTGTTATATTTATGTTTTTGTAAACGTCAATATTAATTAGGACAAAATTCGCTTTTAGTCTCTAAAACTAGAGTTTGGTGGTGGCTATTTAGTTCTTGAGGTTTCAAAATAGATCACTTTAGTTTGTTAGGTTTGAAAAATGATTCTAAATAGTTTGTGCTTATTTGACTCGCAGTTACTAACGAAAAGATAATATTGCTGTAAAGTCGTTGATTCTACTTGACTTGGAAATGGTAATTTTTAATTCAATGTAATAATTTTTATAATATATTTAAAGGGATTAAAAAACCTCTATCTCTAAATTTGAAAACTCAATTAAAGGTAAATATTAAAAGAAAAATTGGGATTTGAGCATTTCCAATAAAAATCTCTCTTATTTGATTTAATTTATTTAATACTTATATATGTAATGTATTTATTACCATTTAATTATTTCAGTAATAATTTAATTGTCAATTTTCTTAATTTAACCATAGTTTTATTTTATAAGACTTCTTTTTTTGTAGTTTATTCACTACAAGATATATTAATTAACTATTATTTTTGGGAGATTGAACTATACTATTAGTGGTCTTCTTATATCTATTATTTTCTCTAATTATTCATATGAAAACCTTTGTGGTCTCTCCTTGCTCGTCCTTTGCCCTTCTCTTCACTTGTTGTTGGTGCTAATCTATCGTCATTTCTAGAAGTTTTATCCTTCGTTCCAAATTTGAAATTGGAACAAAGGTTCATTTCTTCATTCCACTAAGGACCCTTAAAATACCCCAAAACAAGGGTCAACATGACATTGTGCTAAGCAATAGACATGACAAAGGCGCACAAACAAGGATGGTGGTCAATGCAATGGACAATGATTGTCAGAGATGGATGATGCTTACAACTAAAAGAGAGAGACAGAGGAGGAGAGAAAAATAGATACCAAACTCGTTAAAAACCAAGAGTACAATTTATCTTGTTGTCCTATTAATTATTTATAATAAATTAAAATAAGTAAAGAAATATAAAATTATATTGTCCATTTTCTTTTCGAATTCAAAAATATAAAGGCGAGAAATCAAAACTATCAACTTTAGGAAAGAAAGAGGTGTCTTAACCACCAATATAGAAGTGCCAAATAGGCTGGCTATATTGTACAAATTAAAATAAAAAGAGAAATAAAAAATATATATATATTTTCTGTAGGCCACATTTTGATATTTTACAGACAGATGAGCAAAAGGCAAGATACAAGATCGTAAATAAAATCAAAGGTCAAAGGAAACAGGCAGGTCAATTACAAAATCCCAGAATGGCGTGTACATGAATAACAGGCAAGAAAAATCCAAGATCATGCCGAGGCGAAGGATCAAGCATGCAGGTTAATTACAAAAATGTCCTTACATCAAAGTTAGAGCGATGTGTCCATATAATAATTACACTTCCAAATGTTGTACACGACATGGGTAAATATTACAGTTCCATGTTGGTGATCAACAGTGTCGAATGACCCTGCGATCATTTACAAGACACCAATGTACGACGTCTTACAGAGGACATTTTCATTTCACTCATCTAACCCTACATGCTGCAGGGCCGCTTGGAGAACAGTTGGGGTTAGGAGACCGGCAACTAGACCCTGGACCGACATTGTTGGTAAACCTTTGCCGCATCCTGTAATCAGGGATGCCGCCTCTAACAAATGGACTACTACCCGTTGATGAGTATTCACTTGTACCGTTACCGCTCTGTAGTGGTTCCAAAGTTTCAACTACATCGCTCATTAATGGTCTTGCTTTCGGATTCTGGCTCAGGCAATAGTACGCCAGGCTGCAGGCCTTCTGTGCTGCCCTTATCGAGTATTGATTTTCCAATCTGGGGTCAATTATTTGGAGCAGCTTCCTCTTGTCATTTAGTTTAGGTCGGGCCCAATCTACCAAATTCTGCTCCTTGCTTGGTTTTGTCTTGTCAACAGACTTTCTCCCTGTCAAAAGCTCCAGAAGAACAACACCGAAGCTGTATACATCACTCCTTGCTGTTAAGTGCCCTATAGGTTTCAAAATGGAAGCTTGGTGACAACAAATCCACAAGGTTACTTCACTATATCGAAGGAAAATTTTAACTCATTCTCAGCACTAAAAACGAATGCCTATTAATGTAAAATTATATATGAAGTATATACCACGTAGACAGAAAAGTGGCAAGTTAACTAATACCAACTCTGCAACTTAAGAATTTCCATGCCATTCAACCTCCAATAGCATATAGAGACCAAAATAGCAGATGGTACTAGTCCAGTAATTTTCAACTCTAGGCTTTTTTCCATCTAAACCTTGCACTATGGAGTGTAATAAAAGAGTTCTAGCATCAAACAATTCAATGAAATTTTCCATCCAAATAACAAATCTTGACTTTTTGATCAGCCGAGATTTTACCTTCACATTATTTTCTCTTATTTATTACATAATTAATTATTATTATACTTCGATAAAATATACTTTTAGTCCATGAAGTTTAGGCTTTGTATCTATTTGGTCCTTGAAGTTTCAAAAGCGACACTTTAGTCTTTAAATTTTGGAAACAGTTCTAAATAGTCCCAAAAGTCATTTGACCGTTAGTTGATCAAAGGGTGCTGACTGGGCTGTTAAATAGTGACACGGACTTGCCAACTTGTCAGATTATTGTGGTATTATGAGTTGAAAATTAGACTGGTAAAAGTTAAAAAAAAAAGGAAAGAAAAAGAATGTATTAATGGTAAACGTTAGGAACCAAGTAAGAATATGAAGATTAATGTATTAATTGTAAACTTAATCACAAAGTAAGAATATGAAAGGACAAGATGAAAATAGTATAAATATTAGTTGAAGGAACGTAAGAGGTAGGCTTTTGGCTTAAGAATAGGAGCAGCACAATTGTGGGAACTCTTGGATTTCCTCTATTGTGTAACTTGGTTCTCTTCTCGTTTTTTTCTTTTTTGGATAAGAGATGGAAAAACTTGGTTCTCTTCTCTAAAATCCAAGTAAGTTCTATCCGCCCAAAAAGTTCAACTTCACAATCCCAAACTGATTTGGAATTAAACATAGGTGCTTCTGTTAGAAACTCCCCATCTTAGACATGAGTTTTCAGCATTTCCAATCCAGCTCCAAATCAAACACTAGACCATTATAGCCCGAAGAACAACAATGAAGCCGAGGATATAAATTTTGGTTGCATAGAGACATAATGAATATCATTGTCATCTACATCTATTGTGTGCGTTTTGAATGATAGAAAAAAGTGAAGAAGGGCAAGATACATAGTGTTCATTCTTGGAGGGAGCAAGGAGCAAAGAGTTGAGGATGGAGGAAACAAAGGTTGAATGGCAGCAAGTAGCCATGAGAGACAGTTGACAACGACCACGCAGCAACGGAGAACTCTTTCTTCACTTCAGAAGTCGATTTCAAAGAAGAGATTCAACATGATTTGGAAAGGAGAAAACTCAAATGTAGAATTTGGGGAATGAAGAGTAGAGGGTTTGGCAATCGAAACCAATGAACAGCTAAAAGAGAGAGGTGGAAATCATAGCATACTGGAAGAGGTTGAATGGTGGAAGTAGTGATTGTGATTATTGTGTTCCTCGTTGGTGCTTCTATTTATAATCCCATTTTTGGAGAACTCTTGAAACACCTTAAACAATTCATGGTAAAATCAATGTCACCTTTTCTTTCATGGTCTAATTCAACAAGTATTTGGCATTCTCGTTTCAAGGTCTTTCAGTTTCAATGGATGTTTGATAATGTTTCAAGTCAACACATTGTCCAGCTATTATTCGGGCCAAATTTTCCCCTTTGTGGTCGTCTTCTTTGGGTTAACACCATCAAAGCCACAATTGCAGAAATTTTGTTAGAAAGAATCAAATAATTTTTTAAGACGAATCTAAAGTTTGGGTGGAAAGATTTGATATGGTCATGCTCAAAGCCTCAAAATGGTGTTCTCTATCCAATTTATTTGTTCAATTTCTAACTTTTAATTGATGTATGAAAATGAACTTAATTTGTTAAAAGATACAAACTCCGGAAGGAATAAAGCAAAAAAATAGTAATAGAGAGAAAGAAAGATACAACCATACCCGTCTATATAAAGCTAAAAAGACAATAAAACAGCCAAATAAAAAGCTAAAAAGAAGATTAAAAAAAGGCCTCCCAATTAGAGCAAATCATTCTGGGGGAATAATTTGCATAAAGATTGGAGAGCACACCATTGAGAAAATTTCTACAAGTAATATTTGCTTTTATTTTCCCTCGCTTGGATTCATGTGTTTGATATGCTTTCATGTTTTCATTTTTCCTCGTTAGGAACCTTGGGTTAATTCTACTATTTGTTTTATTCCATTCCCTTTGGGAGCTTGTTCTCTTGAACAATTTTGTATCTTTTCATTATTTCAATGAGAAGTTCGTTTGAGAAAAAAAAAATGGAAGAAAGAAGATCAATCAAATGAGAAGTTTGCGCAAGTTCCAATGAGAAAGAAATGATCATACCAGTCATGACATATTCGGGGGCAGCATAACCATAAGTACCCATTACTCGAGTTGAAACATGGGTCTCATCACCTTGTGGTCCAGCTTTTGCAAGTCCAAAATCAGAAAGCTTGGCTGTATAGTCCTGCAGAATAATCGGTCAGGTGGAGGAAAATGAGAAGAATATCCTCTTATCCACAAGCTTGAGAAAAAATAATAATAATAACAATTTTGGTGCACAATAAACTTCACATACAGAGTCCAACAGTATATTAGAGGTTTTAAAATCCCGATAGATGACAGGCCTTTCAGCATTATGAAGGAAAGCAAGTCCCTTGGCTGCTCCAAGAGCTATCATCATTCTTCTTGCCCATGGCAATGGAACAGTCGTCTCTGAGTCCCCACATGAAAGATTATGTAAAATTTAGTAGAACAACAAATCAAGCCAGTCAAGCACTACAATATTTGAAATAATTACTATTAGCATAAATTATGCTTTATAAGTTACTATTCAAAATGCAAATAAATTCATCCCTTTTCTAACTAATAGGACAGTGCAATAAAAATTCGGAGTAAATCTGGTGACATGAAGCATGAAACTTTTTTTCTTTTTTTGGGTGACATGAAGCATGAAAAAGATCAACCAAGAAAAATGATATGAGAATCATAAGCCTGAAAGTCAATAAAATGAAGATACTGCATTACACAATAAGACACCCAATCTTTTGAGATCAAAAAACAAGGAAAGTTGGGAAATAATTTAAAGATCCATATAGATACTAGAAATGAATTCTCGCCAAATTGCAACAAAATCTTCTATTATTGCCATAAAAATCTAATGCTTCTTTCCTTCCAAATGCACCATAAGAATTACCAAAAACAGACAAAATAACTTTCCTCCATACTATTTTTTGCCTTTGGAACTCAAAATCCTCTGCGAGTGATCAATAGTCATTGTAAAACCAAACCAGTTCCATCAATCTGCAGCTTGTAAAAACAAGAGAACTCTATTTCTGAAAATTCTCTTTAGACATGGAAGGATCCTACTCTTTGGGCTTGAATTTTCAACCAAGCACCACAACCAAATAATTTCACTACAATATTCTTCAAAAAATTGTTGGAACACCCTACCTAATATATTGAGAGTGTTCTATGATTTTTTTAGTACAGTATCATCGATATTAGTCTCAATGAGACTTATGTTCCTCACTTGTCAAAGAATATATGATGCTAAAACAGCTAATAAATCCAACTTAATTAGCCAAAATCATTGAAAAAGTTTGTTCAAAAGGCTAAAATGTCTCTCCCTTCTACCATAATCAATTTCAATCTGCTATTGTTTCTAATACACACATGATTAATATTTGTCTTACTGCTAATGAGCTCACTTGACGAGTGGAGAAGAAAGAAAATATTTTTTTTTTCAGAAAGAGACAAAGATTTCATTATAGAGAAAGGAAAGGGTATACAAAAAGATTGCAAGGGGATAAGGTGCCTCTTCCCAAACTCTCAGTAAGGGGTTTAACGAAAGGGTCCAATTCAGAAGGAGAATACTCAAAGGGAGTATAAAAAAGTCTTGAGCAATTTCACCCAAGAGGAGGCAGTGTGCTTTACAAGATTCCGAAAACTATTAAAATTTGTAAACTTATCTTCGAACAACCTATTGTTTGGTTCAATCTGAATAGATCAAGAGTAGATCTGGTGATGCTCTTCAATAAAGCTCTTGCCTTTCCTTTTAACCACCACCCTGAAAGAAGATCTGGAAGGATGAAATTCATATCGTTGAGCATGCACCAATTGCAAATTTTGGCATTCCCCAAAAAAGGTGATCTATTGATTCTTTGTTGTTGGCACAATTAAAGCAAACGTAAGGACATGAAAGAAAGTGGTGATTTTTCTTTTGGACTCTATCTTGAGTGTTTAAGCTCTTGTAACCAAGATTCCAAAGGAAAATTTTCACTTTCTTAGGCGCCTTGACATTCCAAATCTGATTAATCAAGATATCGTCTATCTTTTCACTTTTTGAGGACATAAGAATGCCAGCCAACTTATAGGTGAAGCTTCTAGAATCATCTCCCTTGCAAATTAATCTGTCTTCCATATGGTTTGAAGCTTCCTTGTCTGGCTTAACCAAAAGATCAAGCCACTTTTCAAACTCCCTATCATGGAGGCTACTGACATTGATTGGGAAGTTTTGGACGTCATTTTACTTGCTAAAGGCTTTGGTACCCAATGGAGAACTAGGATTTGGACCTACCTCCAAATTATTCTATTATCATAAATGGGCAAAATACAAACTACATTGAGTATTCATTGAGGGCTCTTGAACAGATGGCTATTAGCTTCGGGGGGAAAATTAGGCTGATGATCTATCTCATACTTGGGGTCTGCCCTTAATGGCAACCCTTGCTCTTTCTCCATTCGGGCCCCATTACTGAAAGAATTGACAACTTCAGAAGTGGTAGAACACCTCTCTTTATACAAGAAGCATGATCACCTTTATCCAACTAAATTAAAAGGTTCTTTGGAACTTTCTTTGGGAAGAAACTAAAGACAGAAAAAAGGAAGGTGGTGTCACTTGCTTATGGGAGGGGGGCTGCTTGGAATCAATAATCTTACAAAGTTTGGAAAAAAATTTTCTTTGGTTTAAAACAGTATAACTGTATAAGGCAAAGGGTCAAATCGGAAATTAACAAGGATATTTTGTACATCAGGTTCTCTCTTAGGGAATGGTATTTTATACGTTGAACTCTCTTTTTGGATTGTCTAATGATTTAAAGGTTGAGACACATGGACGCCTTGTGGACCATCTATCCAATACAAAAGGTGTTTCCTTCCGCATGTTGAAATTTCTGGTTCCTTAACTGTGCACAGTTCTTCATATGGTCGCAATTCACTTGGGTCTGTCGATAGCATTGGGTACTAGATTATGGCCACTTTGGTTATCCTTCCTAAAGTTGTTCAAACCATTGTTATTGCCAATTTTTGTTATTATATTGCTTATGGGACAATTCCATTGTTGGACATTCTCCGATCGATGCTCTCATCGAAGGCTTTTGGATGTTCTTTTCTCCTGTTCAATATATTAGTGTAGCTTTTGCAGATTTTAGGAGATGGTTTTGGTTGTTTTGGCTCGACATTTTGTCAAGATATTAGGCGTTTTGTTCTTTAATGTTTTCTCTTGTAATTTTTGCAGATTTGTTCTTTATTTCGCTGTTTAGTCCTTTTTTTTTCTTTTTTGCTCCTTTTGTAGTTTGTATCTTTGAATATTTTTCTTCTTTTTCATCTATCAACGAAAATTTTGTTTCTTGTTTAAAGAAAATATAGTTGGGGAGATTTCACCTTAAGAAAGAGGCTTTATGGTCAAAAGTTATTATTAATATTATTCTTTTATAAGAAACCAAGTTTTCATTGAACAAATGAAAGAATACACAAGGCATACAAAAAAAAAGGGTAAACAAAAACCACCCGCTAGGAGGAACCCAAACCAACAGAAAATTGCTCCAATCCAACGAAATAACACCTAACTGTAAAAATCTTTTATAATCTTCCTCAGCATGGGGAAGCTTTCCTCCCCTTCAATCCGTAATTTCTTTCGTCTAATGAAATTAGCTTCTAGTCTCTCTCACACACACATAAAAGAATGATAATGACCAAAATGAAGCTTCTTGATCATCTTGCAGCTCTGGCTATCCTATGAATAACTATGACCATCATATAATTAGAAAACTTGGTTGAATAACCCCAAGAAGAACATGAACAGCTTGAAGTAAAGAGCTTGTTGAGCATGGAGATATTGAGGAGATTTTATGAATACAACTAAAGATCAATAAAATAATTGAATAAGTTGTTTCTATAAAATCTAGTTAAAGAAACAAGCATTCTATGTCAACTAAAAAATATTGAGTGTTTGCTTATGGACTTGAATTCCAGGAAAGCAACCTCAAGTTTCTCGAGCACTCATCCCTAAGTACTTAAACTCGTGACATTTGTTCTAAATTCGCAAAAAATTATTCAAGGAAGTTAATTATAAGAACCATGATGGGTTGATCTAATAATCATATCAAAGAGACGAGTCACGAACTTCGAAGATTTTGAAGTATTGGAGTCAACTTTTGGTGGACATCAAACAAGATTATAGGATGAGTTTCTCAATTCTAGATATTATAAGAGCAGGTCGTAGTACTATAAGACCAGTTGAGGTAAAATAATATGTAACCCAAGATCTAATCAAGCTCAAACCAAAAGATATTTAAAAGGGGAAATAAAAGAATCCTCAATTAGTGTACATCAAAAAAGAATAGTAACCAAAAAATATTTGGACAGTGAGCTCCTTTTCTTCCTCTTTTCTCATTTTTCTTTTTTGACTTGGAAGAAATCTTTTGTTAGAGAATTAAGGAAAACAAGAGGCTGCAGAGCACCAAAGAACAATAAATGCTTCAATAAAAACCAAACAAGGAGCTCCAATTAAAAAAAAAACAAAAAAATCTAAAAGCACCTCTCCCAATCCTCTACAATTAATATTTTCGTAGTTCCTATGTAATCTTGGTTTTTTTTTTATAACAAGATACGAACTTCTCATTTATTAATAAAAAGGAAACTGTTCAAAAGATACAAACTCCCAAGGGAAGTGAGAAAAACAAAAAGGAAAGTGAACCAAAAAACAAAGGGACATAACCCAAATGAGCAAAAGAAATTAACAACAATAAGATCGTAATAGCTACTATCAAAACGATCCTCCAAGATGCAAGGAAACATAAAAGAAATCTTTAGGAATCTGTAACTTTCAGACATGCACGCAACGCCAACTTTATCGTCTGGATATAGGGCTTTGAGTTCCTGAGAAAATTTGGCTCGAATTTCAGCAATTTCTCTATCCCGGTCAGCTTGTATCTCAAAATTTCTTCTAAAGTGCTCCTCTAACAAAGTGACTCGTTCTTTGCAAAGCTTGACAAGCTCGGAGTTAAGAAAGGCTAAATATGCATCCAATTGAGAAGGAGATAAGCTAGAAATGTACTTGAGGGAAGAAGTTATGAAATCTTTAGATAATTCCAAAGGAATATCCATGCTACCAGAGAAAGCCTCTTTATAACAATGAGAAACTTCAAGTTTAAGATGAACTAACCGAAGGGGCCCCTCACTATAAATAAAAAAATCAGGGGCATAGAAAGGCTCTTTAGCTTCTAAGGCCAACAAAAAAGAGGAGGAAAAAAGGAATAAAAGCTTCTCAGTACATTGAACCATCAATCAATGAATAATCCATGAACTAAGAAAGTAAGTCTGCAAAGAGACTTTTCGTTTCCCGTGAAATCCTCCATTGATAAACCACCTAGATATTCAAAACCGAGTTGTAATAAAAGACTGTCCGTTAAATGGGCGAGTAACCATGCACCAACCAAAACACCTTGATAACCGAAAAGGATGTCTTGAAGATGAGAAGATGCATTTAAAACAATAAACCAACAAACGATCTAATCAATTTGCCAAAAATAAGGAAAAACGCCAAATAGACTCTTCGAAACACTCGCCAACTAAGCTGCTTAAAATAATAAACACTCTCCAGAAAAACTGCTACCCTTATAATATCTGCCAATCTGCTAATGGGAAGAAAGGGTAAACGGCACCCCTTCATATCCCGACAACCATTAATTCATCTGCTGCAAAAAATCTTCTTGAAACCCAAAAAAAGAAAGTTCTGAAGGGGAAAACCCAATAAGCCGAATATGCCCGATTCTTCATCTTTAATAACCTTAATCCTGAAAACATAAACCCATCAAGCACAAATATACGCACGAAACTTCCTTGCTACACAAAAACTCAAAAAGCATAAATGTGAACCATTCAACTTCCCAAAACATCTTTAAAATTAGAGGTCCCTATCAATAGGGACAAGTGTAATCTCAATTTCTTCAAAAAATGAGGAATTATTGTTTGCTTTGAAAATTATGACTTCTTATCTTCTTTTTGCTCACTAAAAAGGATCTTAAAAATCTTCCTCAAATGATTGCTCACAAATATCTTCTATAGAAAGGTCTGACTTTGGGGAAGAATCCAAACTACTAATACTAACCGCTTCATCATCGTCTTCAAACTCATTATCCAAAGATTCAAGAGAAAAAGTCCTATGAGTCAAACCTTAATTAGTGTAGTTTATTGAACCAAAGGAAAGATCATTTAGCTTGTCTGATCTATCTTTAATAACTCTTTCTCCTTCCTCATGGAAAGCCTCATTCAAGTTCACTTGTAGCTGCTGTGTAATCAAATTTCCCAACAAAAGATGTTAAGTTTTTTGCTAAATGTTTTTGGTCTAACCCTGGAATGGTCTTAACATTTTGTAGAGTCGCCAAAAAGAACACCGAAAAACTCTATAACAATCATAGAGGAAGAACAAATTATCTAGGCCTTCTTTCTCAACTACTTCAAGAAAGAACACAGCAATTTGGCAAAAAGCAAGCTTTAGGGATCTCATTACAATTTTTAAGGAACTGACCTAACAGAGATGGAAGGGTCCATATCCTTGTTGAATGAAACTTATGTTTGCTTTGCTTTATCCCCATGCAGGAGAGGGTGAGGAGAGTAGAGGAGTTCGTGCCTATTAGCCTTATCACAAGCTTATCTAGACCATTGCTAAGGTTCTGGCCAATAGTTTAAGGAAGGTCCTTCTCCTTCCTAGAATCATTTATGATATTCAAGGCCCTTTATTGCAAGGAGATATATTTTGGGTCAAGCTTTTATTGCTAATGAGGTTATTGAAGACCGTAGGAGTCATAATAAAAAAGGCGGATGTTTAAGATTAACTTTGAAAAAACTTATGATCATGTAGATTGGGACTTCTTGGATAAGATCCTTTAGAAGCAAGGCCTTCGGTTTAAATGAAGATCTTGGATTTGGACCTGTATTAGGGCAATTAAGTATTTGTATTTTGTTCTTGTTAACAGTTAACACCAAGTCAAGGGGGTAGATCTTGCTTCTCAAGGTCTTAGGCATGACCCTCTTTCCTTTTTTTTCTTTCTTTAGGTTGTGGATATTTTTAGTAAGCTGGTGTCTACGATTTTTATGAGAGTGAATAACTATACTCTTGAGGACTTTTGAATGGGGATGGATAGAATCCCGCCTTTTGCAAGGAAGATTCTTTCGTTAATCATGATCGTATTTTGCCAATTTTCAAAATTGTTTCTAATCTAAAATTAACAGAGGTAAGAGTTCAGTCACTGGCATCAATAGTGAAGCTTCTAAATTGATTTATTGGGCCTTTCTTGTGTGTGATGTGGGTAACTTTACTACCTCTTACCTTGAGTTTCCCCTTGGCCACAGTCCTAAGTACTTGTATTTTTTGAATCATTTCACAAGAAGGTCTAAAAACGTCTTTCTTCCTACAAACTGGTGCCCTTCTCAAAGGGGGCAAGCTAACTTTTATCCAGTCTATTTTAGGTGGGATTTCAACTTCTTATTATTGTTTAGTTTCCTACTTCTGTTAGTAAGAATTTAGAGAAGGTTATGAAATGTTTTGTAGGAAGGATTTGATGAGGGAGGGATAATAATTCTCATTAGATTAGGTGGGAAGTTATGTCTAGGCCGACGGACATTGGGGTCTGGTCAGAGGTAACTTGAAATTGCACAATGAGACCCTACTAGCAAAATAGTTATTCATCCATCCCCTTCAATTTCTTTAGTCTTCTTCCCAGACACATTCTCCCTCCCCTCCTACTCCTACATCAAAATTACTTCATGTTGCCAACACAAAAATAGTGAGCATAATACAAAATATTATGTCAAATGGGATCAAATGAATAGTTAAACTGAGGTAGTGAGGTCATACAGAGTAAGGCCTATCAAATGGCACACGAAAACTTCACCAATGGATCTACCAGACTAACAATAGATTTAAATTAAAAAAAAATATTACTGGTGAGAGTGGTCTCTGTCACTCATACTCCACACTAAAAATAAACCATACATTTGCGGAAACTGGAAAAGAAATCAAGAATTTTAAAAGTAATAATAAATTAAAAAGTACTGCACTGCATTTTCTGATTATGTGGGTCAAATAATATGCATGCATTGATCAAAGAATATAAAGAATCTGATTCGTAACAAAGAATATAAAGAGTAGATTATAGGTATTGTAGGTTGAAGTGGGGCAGAGACCACACGTTCAATTTAAGATGAAGCGTGCGTCATGCTATGGTCAAGGAATCACTAATCATCCACATAATCTATTTCATCTACCGCTAAGTATCCCAGAATTAAATAAAGTTAGTACCTACCCAATCCTAAGAAAAATGCAAAAGCAATTGTCTAATAGAGACTGAAAGTAAAAGCATTATTGATCAGCGAAGTAAAGAAGAGGAAGAGCAAGATAGGCGTGTACTTCGAAAGAGGTGGTTTTCAAGGCTTCCTCGAAACATGAACTCATAGACAAGTAATCTATGATCGTCCTCGCAGCAGTAACCAATCAACTTTACAAGGTTTGGATGTCTTAGCTGACCAAGAAAGTTGACTTCTGTCTGCAATAGAGCAAAACAACAAGGGAATGAAATACCAAAGAGAGAGAATGGACTTAGAAACATGAATTGTAGGGTGACGTAAGAGAAGAGACATACAAGCCATTCTCGGTGGCCCTGGAGGCCTTCCCTATTGAGAACCTTGACAGCGACAGGAAGAGACTTGAGGCCAACCCTGACGTTCTCATCAATGTAACCCTTATAAACAGTTCCGAAACCGCCCTCTCCAAGAATATAATCGGAGCGGAAACTCTTGGTGATCGTTTCCAGCTCGTATAACGTGAAGGCGATAACATGGGTGTAAAGCACCGAATTCTTTCTGAAGTCCTCGAGGTTGCGAGGGGTCGAAGGATCGCTTAGATCTGATATGGACCGATTATGAATATGCCTTTTATCTGCAGCATTGTTGCTGCCGTTTTTCACAGCCAAGGAAGATGATAAAGTATGCAGCTGTTGAACTGTATAAGAATGATTTCAGAATTGCAGCAGAACCGTGATCGTCTTAGTTTTATTCAGTCAGTTTCTAAGTTGAGCATTTTACAAAACTAAACCGAAAGCGTGCATACAGATAAGATAATAAGCACATTGCTGAAGGAGAAAATGACATTGACCCTTATGAGAAGAAAACGAAGAGACGAGAAAAAGCCCTAGATCTGGGTTTCTTGAACAAGAGGCAAGAATTGATCAAACAGAAAAAATACCTTGAGCATTGGAAACAACTGCAGACTCTTCCCTGGTACCGCAGTTGCCCATCTCGACTCCACTTAGTTTGCTGTCGCTGAAGTTGTGATTGGGACTGTAATGCAGCAGTGCTGACGGCGGTAGGCTTGGCTGGTGTGCTGACTAAGTGGACCAAAAAGCAATAAATGGACAAGTTACTGTTGCAGTAGTGGTTGTAATTGTAGAAGTGACAGTGACAGTAGCTGTGGCAGACCTCGGGGGAGAGACGGGACTGTTGCTCCAGACTTTCATTCTTCAGCGATATTGGCTCTTTTTCTTTTTCCTTTTACGGGTAACGATGTTAAACACTGGAGACTCTCCCTCCTGCTCCCTTCAACTTTTTGCCTTCGGCCCTAGCACTGTCCTGTTTTGGTCTTATGAAATAAAAAGTTTTTTTTTTGGAAAATTTGCACTTTTATCCTTAATAAGCTTAGCAGGGGCAATTTTTTCTACTTAGACTGCTCTTGAGTGATAGTTGAAAGGGTGTGTTCGGAAATAAATTTAGCACTGTTAAAATTATTGTTATAGTTACTGAAATCACTTCATTTTAAATTATCATGTTTGACTAGGAATAAATTTGATTTTAAAATTTTTTAAATCATTTAAGTGATTTTTTGAGTAGTAGTGGGGGGTGATTTTAATTGAGGTGATTTACATCTCAATATGAGCCATTATTTTCAATGCTAAAATTTCTCCTGGGATTTCATTTTTTTTATTTGCGCTCTCTAGCAGGGTTGTCTCATTTTTTGTCTTAAGAAACTGTGATATACTTTTCAGATCAACCAATCTAGACTAACCAATATAGGCTTGACCGCCTCAAACCGATACGTAAATGTTGAAAAACTCAAGCCAATCAACTCAAGTTCAACCAAGCTCAGTCGATGAGCCCAACAAGTGACAAGCATGGCCCGATGACCTCGAGCACCAGCATTGGTCGACCAACCAGACCGTGTTTGAACACGGGTAGACCACACATTTATTTCATGGTACTTTGATTTTTATAGTTATTATTATTATTATTTGATATAATTCTATAACTAATTTTTTAATTCAACAATTATGAAAAAAAAAAACCAAATTTCGAGATTAATTTAAAATTCAACTATTAAAACTTCCAATAATACATCGAAAAAAAATGTTAATTACACTACGAAATTAAGGGTGCATTTGATTGATGATTTGAAAATATAGACGTGAAAATAAGAGCTTAAATGAAAATAAATTGTATTGATGGTTTTTAGTATTTTAAATATGTGTTTAGTATCATATTTATACATTGAATTTCAATTTAAAAAATTGTTCAATTGTGTCGTGAACTAATTTGAGTTACCATCAGAGGGTGTATTTTGGAGTAATTTTAAAATGGTTAAAATCACTTTTGTCATTGTCAAAATAAATTGTTTTTCAATTGATGTGTTTGGAAAGTTACAAATTAATTGTAAGAAAGTTTTAAATCACTTTAAATTTATTTTTAAGGTACTTGATGTTAATTTTGAAAAATCAATTACACTTGAATCTATTTTTTCAAAATCACTCATTATACCGTCGTTTCGAAACACAACCTAATATTTAACTTGATATAAAACAAAATTACCTAATTTATTAACATTTCGTAGAATTATTATTCACAATATTATATAATCTATAATACGTTATATTTTGTGATTTTTTAACCGAAATAAACATAATTTTATAACATGAAATGGTATATTTATAAAAGTTTTTATCTTATTATGCTTACAAATTCAAAATCTGAAAAGAATGGGGAGATAAAAATATTGTTGGAAGAATTCAAAATCTGTAAGGTAACAAATTTGAAAACAAATCTGCCCAAAAATATTCACTTCCGGATTGCATACCTACCAAACACCTAAATTAACGTATATATATATATATTCTTTTTTTCTCTTCTTCTTTTTGATAAAAGCTTATAGCGTACAAATTGGTAATTTCACCATGCTTCTGTATATATAACTGATCGCCCTCACCGAAGCCGTTCAAGACAACCTACTCCTTATCTTGTTATCCATCCATATACCAAAGAGGACACTCGAACAATGGCAATGGCGTTTACAACGGCAGCGACCAACAGCCGATGGAGCTTAACAGCATTGAGGGCAGCGCTACCTTCTGTGGGAGTAGAGATTCATACTCCCGCTCGCGTCAGCTTCCCGTCGGCCACTGGTCGAGTCAGTTGCAGAACCTGCAGCAAACCGATCGCCTCTTTTTCGGGTCTATGCCCTTTGAACCCTCTCATTTCTACTGGTTTATCAGGTAATTCCATTTACTCTCACTCGTTTTTTATATGGCCCCATCTAATTTGATTTTTCCTCTGCTAATTCATGCGTCTACTCTGCTTCTTATGGCAAACTGATTCATACCCTACTAATCGAATGGTTCTGCAATGTTTTATCGTTTAAAGTTTGATTTCTATTTGAATTGATTCGTCTCTTCTATTCGGCAGTGTTCTATATAAATTTTGTAGTGAAGTCGCCTGCTAATTTTGGTAACAATGGGAAATCTTAAGTTCATATTCGCTGAAAATGAAACATTGTTCACAGTTTCGTTCCACACCTATCAGGAAACAATTCGAGCGAATCTCTCTTGCCTAGCCGTGCTGCATTTTGTCTGTGGTACTCTTGTCAACCACAGGATTGGATTGGCTGGTATCCCGTGGTCCATCGTAGTTCAGAATTCTTTCAAAGGGTGGTTGGTAGGAATCTTGGGATTACCATAGGAACGACATTTAGTATTTGGTTAGTATTTTGATTGAATTCCTAGGCCTGGAATTATGATAAATATGCCCATTGATTGAAGTAGGTGGATTTTGCGGATTTCTATCATTAAGTATCCATCCTCCATTAACTTTCATTTTCTACTCCTACCCATTGACAAGCACGATAGCTCAAATATTTTCTTCCCTCGCGCTGCAACTACCTACGGGTCCTAGATTGAATTTCTTAGCGTCCCATCCGTTGCTCCTTTGCTTAGTGTTTCCCCTTGCCCTAATGTATTCAGACCTGAATTGAACACCTGTCTCTTGGGCACCACAATTTTATTCCCAACATTTTGTATCCATAGTACCGAGTGGTCTATAATGCGCTTGATTAATACATGGTTGAATATAAATTCTTCATATTAGATTAAAGTCTTGTGCATATGATATAATTGTTTCCCTCTATGGAGCCTATTATTACTTTCACATATTAATTGACAAGCTATGTTTATATTCCAACATTATTCTATGAAAGATAATACAAATTCCTAGATGCATTTGTTATACAAATACTCAATGCATTTCAGGTTATGAATTCAAGCCTTAGTCGATGAGGATTGTACAAGTTTCTTGACAGTGAATATCGTGGAGTTAGGCAATTAGCTTGTGAAATTAGATGATGTATGATATAAGCTAGCTCAGACGCCCATAATTTTAATAAGAATGATATGTAATCATCATGAGTTGATTTAGTTATCTTTAAGGTCCAATGTAAATAGTAAAAAGCTTAGAGAGAATAAGTTCAAACCATAGTGGCTACCTACCTATGATTTAATAGCTTATGAGTTACTTTGACAACCAAATGTAATAGGGTTAGTCAGTTGTCCTATGAGATTAGTTGAGGTGCACGGCCTGAACACTCACGGATATTAGAAAAATATAGAATAAGAATGATATGTTGTTATTTGTTACATAATTTTATCAAATAAATTCAGTTATTTTAATCCCGAGTTTCATACAAGTTCATGGGAGCAAGATCTTCAGACAGCTTTTTATTCAGTGTACTAACTACTGTAGAACCTGTGATGCGCTTGTCCAACATGCAGATTTTGACAGCTTTGAACATAATTTTACAATTGTTGATAGTGGTTGTCGATATTTTGCCATGAGACATGGCAAGCGGGTACCTAAGCTCAATAGGCCTCCTGACCAACGGCGTGCACTATTGCGAGGGCTCACTACCCAACTCCTTAAGCATGGTCGGATCAAAACCACCAGAGCGAGAGCAAGTGCTATGCGTAAGTATGTTGACAAAATGATAACATTAGCAAAGGAAGGTTCTTTGCATAAAAGGAGACAGGCTTTAGGGTTCGTCTACGAAAAACAAATTGTCCATGCTTTATTTGCAGAAGTCCAAGATAGGTATGGGGAGAGAAATGGTGGATATACCAGAATTATTAGAACACTGCCAAGGCGAGGGGACAATGCGCCTATGGCATACATTGAACTTGTCTAAATACTTGCCGGTTCTGTTTGTATCAGTGAAGTCAAGTAGGAAGGGCGATGAGGTTTAATACTTTTTGAGGCATTGCCACATGTATGATTATAGACCTTGTATTAATATCTGCATATATATATATATATATATATATGCATGCAGGTTATAACTATTTTGGCAAAGTCAATTTGGTATACATTATGAGGCCTGGTCAATTTGTTAATTTTATTCAAAGTACATTTACATGATATTTGGTCGGCTGGAGGCTCAATATGACTCTCTGTTCTAACCTCATCAAGATCATCTTTTGTTCACTTTGCTGTTGATCATCCTCCTATAATTTTTTTTAGTACAACAGGTGGGGGTGGAGAATCGAACTCACAGCCTTTTGATTAGAGATTAATGTCTCAATCAGTTGAGCTACGCTCGGTTTGGCACCATCCTCGTATAATTTTACTCTATATCCTTTTTCTATTATTAAACCTTGCATATTATTTGGGCTGCCTTTTTTTTTTCAACAACCTGAATGGGCTTGTTAAATCAAAAGGGCCACCCTGCGGTCATGCTACCCTGCACATATTCAAATCACAGTGTTTCTTTGCAAAGAAAATACAACTTTTGATTCTGAATTTCCTGGTTGATTTATTCTATTATTTTAAATTACTTAACATGTAGAGTTGGTTCTCGTCAGGTTTCAGAATAATCTATCATCATGCCGCATTCGTGGTATAATCTCATGATAATTGATCTTGCAGAAAAGATAATTTCCACCAGAACAATTTGTCCGAGGCACTATCTAAATATGGTAGATTGTCTCAGTTTCACTGCAATAACAAAAGTACAGTTGAAACCTGTTGACTTGAAGTGTCAATCCCTTATTTTGCAGATTCTGGTATTCGGTGAAGCATGAAGTTACTCCATATATTAAGATTGGTTAGCTTATAATGTTTATCCTGCACAGTTGGTTATAGTTCTTCCTCCTTTCAGTAAGTAGAAAGCAAAGTTCTTTTATTCTATCTACAGTTTTTACCAACTTTTTGTCCAGCCACCTGCGGAGTAGCTACTGTATTGTCATTGATTGGTGAACAGGGTTCAATTCTCACGTTGACAGGCCTCGGGATAAAATCATGGCTAATAGCCTCAAACACTACTTCCAAGTTCTAATGAGGTGAGCTAACATCTAATCAATGTTGTGGGCTTGAATTCTATAAGCTGGTATAGAAGTTATTGTTTTGACTTTCTAAACATGGCAATGGATTGGATTCATCACTAATGGCCTTATATGTTAATTTGGTTTGCGAGTCCAACCGCCCAAACTCTAGGTGGACAATAATTTAAGTTGAATGCGGCAGCCGCAGCAATACAAAACCAAAATTGCAAATATAAAATAGTAATAGGAAATAAATATCTTCGGCAATAATGGGTGATAGGTGCTGGGCATTGGTCCTGAGCCACTAAAAATGGTTTAATTTATTCGATTCGATGGTAGTGATAATTATTTGTTATAACTATGCGTGGAATATGAGGAAAGATAGGACATATCTGTGATTTTCTAAGCTAAGTATTAACTATTGGACTGGGTATGGCATGAATTAAGTAATAATATGTTGGCGTGGATTTCTGCGTCTCCCTTCCCCTCCCTCCGTCACTCTTGCTTGTTCTCATCCCCCGTCCAAACAAAATAAAAGAGAAAGCAGCGTTTTTTGACACTGACATTTCATCATCTACCTGCGTGTGCGGATGCCCATAGCCATATACAGGATATATATATATATATATATCATTATACCCAGTACACCACATATCCCCCTGCAAGGAGATAGCTCTTAATTTGCTACCTCTACTTGTACACCATATACTAATGACAAAGGTATTCCCAAACGCCGTATCCTCCTCCTCCTCCTCCTCCTCCTCGTCTACGCCTAGCAGTAGCAGTAGCAGCAGCAGCAGCGATTATATTGATCAGACTGTGCTCACTGTGTGGAAGAAATCCATGTTGCTAAACTGCGATGGGTTTACCGTGTTTAACGCCACGGGTAATTTGGTTTATAGGGTCGACAACTATATCGCAGGCAATAAAGGCGAGATCCTTCTCATGGACGCCGCAGGCAACCCTGTGTTCACCATCCGACGCAAGGTAGACACTGCTGTGTTCATCATCTCTGCAGACTGCAGTAGTGTATTGTGTATTTGAATAATATATAGACGATGATTAGTGCCGTGTTTATGTATTGATAATCTGGTTGTGGTTGGCAGAGATTGAGGCTAGCACTAGCAGACAGCTGGGTGGTTTACGAGGGGGAAACGGGCGTGAATCCCCGATTTTCCGCGAGGAAGAACGTACTGAATCGACTTAAATCCAAGCGCTTGGCTCGCGTGGAAGTGGAAGGATCGTCGGGTATGGGTATGGGTATGTATGATATCGAGGGTTGCTACGGGAAAAGATGTTGTGCGGTGTACGACGAGAAGAGGAGATTAGTGGCGGAGATCAAACGCAAGGAGGCAGCGGGAGGGATGATCTTCGGGATGGACGTATTCCGCCTCCTGGTACACCCTCAGATTGACACCGCAATAGCCATGGCGCTGCTCATCCTACTGGACCAGATGTTTGGATCTTCCTCCTATCCATCATTTTAATTTAATTTCCACCTCTTCTACTCTATCGAAATAAACCACATCTGCTCGCTCACTACTTGTATATGTCATCCGCAGCACAATAGCTGTCTTTGCTTCTCACTTTTTTCTTTTTGGCTTTTGCCTCTTCAGTCTTCACATAACAACACATTCGGTTTTCGGTTTCTATGTATATGTTGGTGTTTTCGGTTTCAATGTCTATCATACTACACTGCCCAAGACTTTATCTCTATGCTAAAGTACAAGTTACAACTATTGAAAAATCCATAACATTTTTTTTTTCTAATTCTCAATTTTCTACTCATAAATGCAAAGGGAAAACACATTCTACGGATTCCCAAAGTCTCAATCAAGCAATTACCCTGGTTTTTTTTTTTTTTAATTGCTATTTTTTTTTTCTGTTTTTCCTTCTAGTTCATCAAATTTAACAACCTTGGAGTCCAAGTGACAGATGACCCCTTCCAAAATGTCAACATGTTTCTTTTCTATTATACTTAGGGACCTTAGCATACGATCCGGGCCGTTTAGCTCTTGATTTTGGATTCGAACTGTGTTCATAGACTCAAATCCCCAAGCTTAGCACTTAACTCTGGACTCGAAATCCCATCAATATTAATAGCATCAAGCAATATATTGTAAATCTTCGTGAGATGAATGTRGACAAATAGAATCAAAGAGTAGCGAGGAGCTCTCCCTAGCTAATTAGCGCAGGCCACGAGGGAATTTTGAAAAACAATCTTATTGGAGTGACTTCTAGCGGTCAACCATCCACTCTCGAGATTCATATTGATTAATTGATCTCCGTGTTTTCTTTTTAAAAAATTATATGTTTTTTTTTAAATCTCTTTAGTTGTCAAAAGTTTAGTACATGTCAAATTTATCATAATTGTCCATCAACTTAAGTTTTTGGATTCATCGGTGATTTATTCATGTTTAAGTGGTCAGGACAACAATCAGTGAAGAGCCAAACATTTTTTTTCATATATATATATAGAGTACACAATTTTGATTGATTGTCTTGAGAGCGAATACCTCATACTAAAACTGACTTGACCATTAGATTTTTCTATTCTTTTTGTAGGTTCGAAGCACAGCTCAACAAGTTCACAGTGTTTTAGAGCGGCGGTTGTAAAGATTCAGCATAAACACACTCAAATATTATACAAATGTTGTTAGAGATGAAAGATAAAAATATAATAAAACTATAATACTTATTTTTGGTCCTCACACTTTTTTACCCCTTTTTTTTCTTCTCCATTTTGATTACTTAACTTTCAAATATTATACTTTAATCCTTCTTAATTATCAACATAAATTAGAATTAACTCTAAAATCAAATGCATAATCTACTTGGTATAGCTCCAATTATAAATATATGTAACTAACTATCATTTCTTTACCACGACCGTGGATATATACTAAGAATACATATAAAAAGCTCACTCAATCCATTTTACAAACTCAAATATTTTTTGGACAAAGTTTAGGGATAGAAAATCATATAAAAAGGAGGACCAAAATTGAGACAAATCCATAATAATAATGATAATGTTGTTATATAATAATTAAGATAAAAACCTAACATGTATCGGATTAGAGGTAATCGATAAAGACATTGTAGATAAATGTTTATGTTATATTCAACCTAGTTTTATCACATTTATTTTGCACTTAGAATGAAAATCTCAAAAACTAATTTCTGATTTAATACCCCTCGAATTAGAAAAGGTAAGTTGCATATGAGGGGGTGGGAAACAATGTAATAAATTATGCGTGTTGAGAATGAGATGTTAGTGATTAAAAATATGTTTATCGAGATGATTAATTGTTAAAGAGTCGGAAGGTTAAAAATGGAATTAGAATTTAGAATAGAGGAAGATGATGAGTTTAGTTTGTGTAAATTGCGGGAGGTCGAAGATAGGAGATAGGACCCCTTATATTCGGGGAGGGGAGGTTAGTGATTCTTGGTTAACAAAGCCCACTCTCTGGTACCCGCAAATTCACCAATTTATTTTGGTATCTCAACGCTCAACACGAAAAACTGAACCTGGAATCCCATCCCCATCCACCAACTGCTGCTCGGCGCCATTCTTCATTCTTGGCCAAATTCTTCATTCTTGTGTGTGGAAACGATTTAGTGGGGGAAGAGGGGCGGTGGGAAATGGAAGGTTTGGAGGGGCTTATAGACAGGCTGATGGAAGGGAGGAAAAACAAAGGTAAAAAGATTCAGCTAATAGAACCCGAAATCCGTCAGCTCTGTATCACTGCAAAACAAGTTTTCCTTGGCCAGCCCAATCTGCTGCAACTGGAGGCTCCAATTAACATATGTGGTATACATTAAGATTATATCATATTGTGATTCCTGTGCCTTCATTAATTAACATTGTGAACTGAACTGAATTATGTTGTTTGCGCTGCGGCAGGTGACATTCATGGCCAATATCCGGATCTGCTGCGACTGTTCGAGATGGGAGGGTTTCCTCCCGACGCCAACTATCTTTTTCTGGGCGACTACGTGGACAGAGGAAAACAGAGCATCGAGACCATAACCCTTCTCTTTGCCTACAAAATCAAGTTTCCAGACAACTTTTTCCTGCTCAGAGGAAACCACGAGTGCGCTTCCATCAACCGGATCTACGGATTTTACGATGAATGCAAACGCCGCTTCAGCGTCCGCCTTTGGAAGATCTTCACCGATTGCTTCAATTGTTTGCCCGTGGCGGCTGTCATAGACGACAAAATCCTCTGCATGCACGGTGGCCTTTCCCCGGAAATGCAGAGCTTAAATCAGGTGGGAGACATAGAAAGGCCCATAGACGTGCCGGACCAGGGGCTCTTGTGCGATCTTCTTTGGGCCGATCCAGATAGGGACATTAGAGGTTGGGGCGAGAATGACAGGGGAGTTTCCTTTACCTTCGGCGCAGACAAGGTCGCCGATTTCTTGAAGAAGCACGATCTCGATCTAATATGCCGCGCCCACCAGGTGTGTATGCCTCCGCTCCGCTGCTCAATGCTCTGATTCTTGATCCTCATTATAATTTCATAATTTTCTCCCACCCAGGTAGTTGAAGATGGCTACGAGTTTTTCGCAGACAGGCAGTTGGTTACGATATTTTCAGCGCCCAACTATTGCGGGGAGTTCGATAACGCAGGAGCTTTTATGAGCGTCGACTCCAGTTTGCTATGCTCGTTTCAAATCCTTAAGCCGTCCAAAGCATGAGCGTCCGGAAATGGAATCCACCTTACGAATTCATCGTTCAATTTCATGTTGATGTCACCGTCCACACAAATGTAGAGTCTCTTGCTTCTTCTACTCCTTCCAGTAGATGTATCTTTTCTTCTTTTGTTTCCGGAAACAAATCCAATCCAACTGATTCCCAGGATCTGTATATAACGACCGACTTCAACTTTCGGATGTATATACATCAAGCATTCAATTAATAAAACTAGAATTGACAGTGAAATTAATCCTATTTTTATGTCGCCGTCCACCTCCATTCAAACTCAACACTATACTACAACCTCAGCGCTGCACCAAATGCAAATGCATTCATTACTGCAAAATACTAATTAATCCGAATTCAACCCAAACGACTAACGTCAAGATGATATATATGTACAACATTGGCTTCAATTCTTTATTCTCTCTCCCAATATCGTTTTATCAAAGCCTTTTAAAAAAATACCAAATTCAGATCTAAGAAATAAAAGTCCTCCTCAGAGTTTAGCGACTATTATATGACAGCGGAAAGTGAATTTGTGCAACCAACAATGACAAAATATGATGGAATCACCAGTGCATGATTGAAAGATATGCGGGTAAAAGTATTGTCTTTTTTTTAGCCCATCGATGCATCAATTATGGAAGCCATCTTGAACAGTGATGTATAGCTAGAAGTAGTTTAGGTTTCACTGAAGCAAAAGTATCAGGGCACGATGCGAGCTCAACGACAAGCCCTTCCAAGGGAGTCTGTGAAATGCTGAATATGAAGGAAAGAAAGACTTTTACTCTACTCAATAAGACAGATAAAAATGGATGTGACATAGTAATCACTAAAAAAAAGTTATTGATTAGATCTACGACATCTCAGATTAACTTATTTTTTTCAAGTAAAGTTTAAATTGTTAATTATGTGGTGTGTTTTATGGAGTAGTCAAATGATCTTGATGTCCTCTTATTATAGACGAATTACATTACAGGGTCACGCAATCATAGTAATACTTTGAGCCCTAGTTTGATATGAACTTTTAAATTAATTTTATTTTGATTTTTGAGTTTTAAATGTTTATTTAGTATATAAAAAATCATGTGTTTTAAATCCATTATATTTATTTCAATCATGTGTTTTAACTTTTAAGTGATTCTTACATTTTAGTTTGTTCCTTTGTATTGCAATTCTCATTAATAGTTGACGTTGACTTAGCAATCGGCACTTAATTTTTGGCTTCTAGATTTGTCCTCTTTTCTGCGTTCCACGGGCATGCAAAAATTGGAATTGGATCATATAACTATTCACAATAAATAAATAAATTTAGCATAACTGGTCAAAAGACTTGAACTTTTCTTTTGTTTATGCAAAAGTTGGACTTTTGTAATTAATTCAATTATAATTAAAAATGAAAGTGTGTTGAAAAAAGAGGGGTACGGAAAAAGGGGAAATGAAATGAGAGAGAGATTGGAGAGGCGTACGCTGTGCCCAAAATAACGACGACCATAATGAAATTGGAAAGGAAGGGCGAGTGGAGACTAGTGGGCAAGGGGAAAGGAGCGCCCACGTGCAGTCCATGTTGATGTTCCAACTTCCAACGCCCGCCAAGCGCGCACCATCCCTTATAATATAGGAGAGAGGAGTGAGGAGAACCGGCCTTGTCCTGTTTTCTCTTCTTTCTTTTGCCCAAAGGCCAAGGTATTAATTTTGGTTTCAAATTTCTATTTACCATTTACTATTTAGTATTTACTAAAACTAAAATCAAAGACTCCCTTATTTATTTTCCACCTCCGATCTTGACCATTTTATTAATATTATATTAAATTGAATCTCAGTGTGAATTGTGAATTGTGATAGAGCCTCCCAGTCCCAAGTCATCCAAAAAATCCTAATCCTTGTTGCTTTTTGGGGCAGATCTCGCCAGCATCCCGAGTCGTGGAAATGGAAGCGGCGGCCTCAGATAACGGTAATGCTCCCCGACCCCAACCCCGGCTGACGAAGAATCCCTCGTCTTCGTCGTTCCAGCTTCGGTGCCCCAGCCTGAATTCCCTACGTCTGCGTCGCATATTTGACCTCTTCGACAAGAACGGGGACGGGATGATCACGACCGAGGAGCTGGGTCAGGCTCTGGGGCTTCTTGGGTTGGATGCTGATGAATCGGATCTGGAT